AACATAAAATATAATTTTAAATCGTATTTTTTTTATAAAATAATATAAATAATTGCAATAATTAACATAAAGTCACATTTATTTAGGTCACAAATAATCACAAGTTCATTTTGATGACGATAATTCTTCTGATTATCTTGAAATTTTTTTATTCTTCTCTTTCTTTTTTTCAATTAAAGCTTTTTTATTAGCTTGTAACTCTTTTTTATTTTTTTTAATGCTTAGCTAATTTTTTCTTCTAATAATTCGTTCTTTGATATAACCGTTCAACTAAAAAAATTACAAACAAAGTAAAATTTAATAATCAAAAAAGATTTTAAGTATTATTTTAATTGTAAATATACATTTTATAATGATTATTTTTATATTTACAAAATATTGAATGACTAAAGTACTTTAAACACTTGACAGATTTAATTTTGAGCTTAAGAAGTTAGTATTATAAATATACGGTGATTAATTGGATTGTGATAAAATCAGAGGGTCTAATAAATGACCGAATGAATTTTTTACTGGGTAAAGGGCTTCTGACGGATCCAATAGTTGACCGGTCTTAAAATAATATTAAAACTTATAATTTAACTTTATTTTTTCAAGAAAATTGGAATCTGATCTTTAATTAACATAATAAAACTAAAATTTTTTTACAAATAAAATTTTTTTTTTATGTAATAATTTTCAATAAAAAAAAATAAAAATTTATTTTAGCTGTCGGCTAAGTTAATTTTTATTTTATTGTGAAAATTTTAATGATTAAGAAGTTTTTCAATAAAAACAATTACAGGATGATGAAATAAACTTTATCATTATTTTTTTTTATTATTATTTATTACATATGACTTTGACATATTTATTACATTATTTTATGTAGATAATTATAGAAAGATGAAGAAATAATTAGTATATATAAATTGAATATAAAATCAAATGTCAATTTTACTATTGACATTAAATATGCTGACTCGAAAGTTTATTAATTAATTATTATAAATGTATAACGTTTATAAATATATGTAAGTATTTTTTTTTATTCTTTATACTTAATAATTATAATAATTTTTTACTTTTGTGAATCTATAATAAAAACTTTTTTAAAGAAGAAAATATTACACAATAAAAATAATTTCTTCACAGAAGAATGATGTTCAAGAAGAAAGTAATAGTTGACTGTGATGGTGGTACTGATGATGCAGTTTCTCTGGTGATCCTATTGAATGCTCACAAGCAAAATTTAATTGAATTGACAGCAATTACATGCGTTGCTGGTAATACTGATATTGAAAATGTCGTAAAAAATGTTTTTAGAATTTTAGAACTTTGTGAAATTGATGTAAGTATTTTTAGCTTCACTCATTACAATTTTAATTAATATGAAAATTAATTCAGCAGATATTTGATAATTTTAATAAATTTTTTACAAATAATTTTCTGGAAAAAATTTGTTAGAAAAAGAATTAAAAAATGCTCAAATGATTGCTAAATTTAATATCATTTAATTAAATGACATTAAAGTTAGCAGTCACAATAATTTTGTTCTAAAAAATTATTTTCAAAAAATTGCATTTTTAATTATTTTAAATTTTTACATGTCAATTTTTTTTTTCTAAATTTTTTTTTGCCATTATTTATTTGTTATAAAAATTCTAAAAATTATTAAATATCTAATAAATTAATTTTCATTGTAATTAATTTAATAAAAATAATTTAAGATTCCGGTGTACAAAGGAGCAAACTCATCTTTGATCTCCATAGAGTCGGTATTAGTAAAAGCCGCTGATTTTAAATACCACGGGAATGACGGATTTGGAGATGTTCTGCAGGACGAAGTAAATATTAGTAATTTACAAAAAGAGCATGCAGTAGTTGCATTCAAAAAAATAATTACTGATAATCCTGATCAAGTTTCTGTAGTGTGTTTGGGGCCGCTGACAAATATTGCGCTTGCTATTAAAATTTATCCAGAGATTTTGGACAGTGTGAAAGATTTTTATGTCATGGGTGGAAATTCTACGGGTAATTTTTTTATTTATTATTATTATAGTTCCCTTTACTAAGTTATATAATTAAATTTATTGACAACTGATAGAGTGTTAATCTTTTTTATACAAATTTTATTATTTATTTCTTTAACTTAACAAAAATTTTTATATTAATAAAAATTAAAAGAGATCTAGCTATAATAAAAAAAAAACACTTTTGAGAAATAACAAATATGATTTTTAGGATTAGGTAATACAACATCACAAGCAGAATTCAATTTCTACGCAGACCCAGAAAGTGTTCATATGTTTTTGCAAAGTAATACCAAACCTTTGTGGATTTTTCCTTGGGAAACTTGTCTGAAAACTTATATACCAATGGTAATGGTTTACAATTAAATTACAAGTAAATCAAACAATCAATTTAATATTATAACAATAGTTATTTTTATCAAGCTGCAGTCACTATGTGACTGCCTAGAATTGCAAGCTATAATAAATAAAATTTTGCTTAAATTATATAATGACTTTTGTTAAAGTGTACTGTATTTTCTTAACTATTGACATTTTTAAAGATATAAGCTCATCCCGATGTTACTCTCATCAAGAGCTTTCATTTGAGTACCCACATCAATTTTTCATATATTTATATATATATATATATATA